TTAAAGGGATTTATACAACAAGGAAAACCTTTTCTGTACTCACTCATGTAAATGGATACTGTTTCCAATGTGCTTTATTCCTTCGTGTAAATTCGCACTTCCACGTGGTTTTTCTTCTGCCTTAAAGACTTACTTGAAAACTTATTTAAAAATTTTTTTTTTAATTTATTTAGTTAAGAGCACAAATGGGGTGAGGGACAGAGGGAGAAGCAAACACCGCCCCCCCCCTCCGAGCAGGGAGCCCAATGCCGGCTGGATGCCGGCACCCTGGGACCATGACCTGAACCAAAGGCAGAGGCTTAGCCGACTGAGCCACCAGGGCCCCTGAATATTTCTTACTACGGGGCAAGTCTGCGAGTGGCGAATTCCTTCAGCGTGTGTATGTCTTCCGTGTTCCATTTTGAAACTCGGTTTCAGTAGGCACAGAATTCTAGGACTCCTGCTCGGAGCCCGCTTTCCTCACCTCCACTAACAGAGGGCTGGCTGCTCTCACCTTGACCTTGCGTAGGGGGTGGAGTGCCAGGTTTTTCTGGGCGCCTGCCCCCCCCCCCAGCTTTCCGTCGCCCCCGCACACCTGTATCAGCGAGAGCGTCCTTCTCCATGCTCTTTCCCTGGGTGGCCCGTTGCCTGCAGTTGGTGGGGTTCTGGGCTTGGCAGGAGCGGGAGAGACGCCCCATGGTCCTAACCAGCCTCCATCTCGGGCAGGCTCTCTGTGCTTCGGCTTCGAAGTGAGTCTTTCTTAGCATTCCTGCTCCTCCCACCTGTGGCCGCCAAACTCGGCCTTTACCTGCGGTGGGCGGAGGGTGCTGGTTTTCTGCGCCTCCCCCAGCACCGGCAAACACCTGTCCGAGAGCGGCCGCTGCCCCTCCCCCAAGAACAGAACTAGTTCGCTTCTACTCGTCCCCCAGGAACAATAAATCTTCCCCTGTGTCTCGAGAGCGGCAGGTCGCTTTTGCCTGTACTGCTTCTCCAGAAAGAGTAAATCTTTGCCAGTGTCCTGTGGTCACCTGCTGACCGGCCTGCGGTGGCTTAAGACTTGGGGGAGAAGGATCCCCGCGAGCTAGCGGAGCTTGAGGCTGGCCTCTCCGCAGGCACCAGTCACCCCAGCTGCAGCCTGGAGGGCTCCCCCTGGTCTCCTGCGCAGCTCTTGCTCCCTCCCGTGAACACCTGGGGAAGGCTGGTGGGGAAGAGCTTTCCGCTGCGCGCAAACTCCCTCTGGGTCTGCGGCCCCGGGCCAGGACCCTGCAGTCACCCACACACCCACACCGGGAAGGTCCTTAAGGTGTAATGCTCTGCTGTCACCGTCCGGAATTCTTCATTTTTCCCTTATTTCCATCTGGCGCTAAAACCCACAGATTAAACAGCCAGTCCCATCCAAAGCGATACAGAAGCCCACACCTGGTCTTTAAACATGTTTAAAATCTTAGCTGGGTTTTTCCTCGCTGTTTGTAGAACACCCACAGGGCTGCCATGTTCTGCCAAAGGGAGAACGGGCGGTCGGTGTGCCCCCCCTCTCCTCCTAGTGGATTACTCCTCTTTGGAATTCGGTTCCGTGAATTCTTTGCAGCCTCAGCGATCTGAGTCTCAAAAATGTTGAGATTTTTTGTATCATCCAGCTGTTTCTTGTTGGAGCGAGGGAAGCAATCTTTGCACCTTTCTTTATCCTGAGTAGAAGTCCAAAACTGCTGGATGGTTTAGAACTTGGTATTTTTAGGATCTCAGTTTCAGCTGGCAGGACAATTAACTCATTAAAACTAGTTCCCCAACCGCCACCACCTCCCCCGCATTTAAAGGAGAATGTCACATTTAAAAAAATTTTTCCTTTAGAAAAAAAAAAAAAAAAATTCCCTTTAGAAAAAGTTCCCTCCCTCTTTAGAAAAAGACAGCTTTTTTAATTTTCTCCCGTGACAAAATACTCCCTAGTATCACAGGCATATTAATGGGGCAACCTAAAGTGAGATTTACGTTGTTTCAGTAACAGGTAACTATTGTATTTATTAAACTCAAATGAGTTATCTGCCACATCGGGCCATTACAGTGAAGTTTACAAAGTGAAGCATGGGACACCTGAGTGGCTCAATTGGCTGAGCGTCTGCATTGGTTTCTGCTCAGGGCATGATCTTGGGGTCAGGCAACGGAGACCCCAGTGGGGCTCCACACTCAGCGGGCAGTCAGCAGAAGATTCTCTCCCTCTCTCTCAAATAAATCAATCTTCGAGACACCTGGGTGGCTCTCTGGGCTCCTTCTCCCCCAAGTCTTCATCCGCCGCAGGATTAGAAAATGATAAATCTTTAAAAAAGAAAAACTAGTGAAGCATGAATAGAGATGAAGAATAATATAATTAGGGAGAATTCTCTAAATAAAGTTATGTGGCTGGTGTGCTAGAGAGAAACAGGTTATCGTGCACTCTGTCATTCTGACTGCCTGCCATGTTTCAAGACTCAGAATATTCTGTAAGATCTAGGTCTTTTAAGTTTTTCAATTTTATTCCTCCACTGAAGTATATTATTAAAAACAATAATAAGCAGGCCAAGTAGAAATAGCATTTAAGTTAGTTTTCCCTGGGTCTATTTTTTTTTTTTTAATCTAAAGCTATTTTAAGTCACAGCTTTCTCATATATCAGTTGACAAACTTACAACTCTGTCCTTTTTTAAAATCATAAGCCTGTTGATATCATGGGAAACTATACAAAATTAGGAGGAAGAGTATATGGTAACCCAATGTATCTTTCATTTACCTTTAATACTTATTCGGTTGTATCCTCACCTACTGTCCTCTCCCCATTATTTTGAAGCAAAATTTTACCAGAATTCCTATTATAGCATATATCTTTAGAGATACTCTTTTTCTTTCTCACCTAACCACAATGCCATCATCACACCTAAAAATAATAATTCCTTAATTATGTTTCTAATTTTTCCAACTCATTGCAAGAGGACTGGTATAAAAGAATATTATTAACTAAGAATCTAAAGATTTAAGACATCTGTAATTCCTTTCCCTACATCCAGAAGAATTAGCTTTTGTAACCAAGGAAACAATTAACATCTATCATTAGCCCTTTAGCTATCCACACAACAGTGTTTTGTCTCTGTTTAAAGAAAAATGTATCGTATACAAAGAAATGGCCTTAATGATTTTTGTGTTAGAAACTATGGGGACAGGAGGCAACTATTCCACAAATTTTAAGGACCATCTGTTAATTACTAAAATTTTGTCTTTTTAAACAAGAACAAAGTTTTTTTTTAAAGATTTATTTATTTTAGGGGCACCTGGATGGCTCAGATGGTTAAGCATCTGCCTTCGGCTCAGGACATGATCCCAGAATCCTGGGATCAAGCCCCAAGTCGGGCTCCCTGCTCAGCTGGGAGCCTGCTTCTCTCTCTCCCCCTGCTTGTGCTTTCTCTGTCAAATAAATAAAATCTTTACAAAAAAAAAAAAAAAGATTTATTTATTTTAGTTGGGGAGGGGCACAGGGAGAGAGAAGCTCAAGCAGACTCCCTGCTGAGCATGGAGCCCAATACAGGACTCGATCTCACAACCCTGAGATCATAACCCCAGTGGAAATCAAGATTCTGACACTTAATTGACTGAGCCATCCAGGCGCCCCATAATTTTTTTTAATGATAATCATTTTCTATAGTCTGTATCCTTGGACGTGGATGTTGACAGACAACTGAAGATAGAACCTATGAAAGTCTGCGATCAGAACAGGTGAATATGGAAGTGTCTGTTCATTTTCTTTTGTATTTCTATCTGCATTTGAGTCTATTTCAAAAAATACCGGACACTTACTGACTCTTCAAAAGGAACCCTAATTAAGACAAATTACCAGCCACAGAAACCAAAGAATCTACCCACAACAGTAAAAGTCATTCATCCTGAAGACATCTTTATACTGTTGGGGGAAATGTCCTTAATGTTTCTTGTACTAGTTTCTCTTGCCACATAACAAATATCCCCTTGTCGGAGCCAGCTATCACAATTCCTAAGTAGCAAAACTTCTTGGTAACTTTCACAATAATCAGTTTTTCCAAGGGGTCTAAGAATTTGGGGTCCTTTTTTTGCTTTTTTAATCAATTGTACGTAAGTATGAAGTCCAGCAGGACACACAGAAAACTGTAATTTTAGTCACACTTACTTCTGGATATTGAGATTATGGGTGATTTTAATTTTGTTTTTATAACTTTGTGAAGTTTTGAAATCCTTTTATGATTAATTTAAAATATGAATCTTTTTCATTTTTTTCAATGTGGGATATTCCAGAGACAAAAAAAAAAAAAAAAAAGAGGTTGAGACAGCTTATTATTTTCAAACATGTATTAAGCATCTACTATATACTAGGTACTTCTGGAGGAAAAAAAAGATACAATCCTTGCTTTTAAGGAATTATGTATGTGGGGAAACAAAACAGCAATAATACAGTGTAATAAATTCTACACAAGAGGTAAAAGGAGCATTAAAGAGAGGTCGATACACACAGGAGTCAACTTAATTGACTCAACACACATAGGAAAAGAAAAAGGGAGTGACCATAACAAAGATCTTTTTATACCACACTTGTGAGTTGAACTTGGTATTACTAAAACATGAATTTAACACTGCAGGAAGATGAAATAACAATATATATAAATATATTGTCATACACACACACACACACACACACACACACACACACACACACATTCCTACTTAATAGACTTTAGAGAGTCTGAATTATGAGATAGAGTGGCAAGGTGGACGTAGAGGCAGAAAACAGACTCGTATGACTTCGTTTTTCAACATAGTGATAAATGATGTCAGTTAGGAAAAATACAGATCATTGAGTATCTTACTGTAGACATTTTTATCTAGTCTTCATTTGGTACATTGTAAGATGGCATATTCCAAAAACTTTTATATGCAGAGAGTAATGCTTTTCTACTCCTTTATGTCCACATGTTCCCAAGGACATCAACATTTAAGTGTTTCCCTCCTTGAGCTCAATCAAGGGATGGCATAATTTTAATGTGAATCCTTTATTGTCCTGTAAGGCCATGGCATTTTGCTGATTTTATGGAGAACAGGTAGTTCTCCTTTCTTCATTAGTTGTCTGCTCGTTCTCTTCCACATTGAGTACAGTATCCACAGTTATTCCTATGTCCTGCAGGGACCAGCCTCCCCCCACTTCCAGAGGGCATCTGGGAAAGGAAGTAGACAGGCTGTATTGGGATGTGTGGTACCCAATTTTCATCATCCAGTCAAATAAGACCTAAAGGATAAAAAGTTTAGCTATCAAATACTGTGCACAGTTGTGTCCCTCTAGAACATCATGATATTTTATAATTCTTCCACTGTGAAATCATGTAATTGAGTAATGAAACAGAACCATCTACAGTTTAAAGGAAAACAATATGCCTAGAACTGTGAGATGCAAATTACCTTTAATACCTTTCCGAAGTTTCAGAGAAGACCTAGGGACTAAAAGCACCTACAGATAGCAGGGGCATTTAACAATTAGCAAAGCCCCAACCCTAGGAAATGGAAAGGCTATTCAATTAAAAATTATGAATAAAGGTTAGCACCTACAAAATAAAATTATTTCAATCAAAATCAAAGCCACTAGTCAAAAATCATTCAGGAACTTTGTCACCAGAGACGTGTCCAGGCCCCAGTGACTCCCTTATGATAGCCCAATTTCCAATGGGCTATTCCTATTAATTGAGAACGTTTTTTGTTATGAAGATTTCCAGAGTAACTGTCAAAACTTCCATTTCCTATTGCCTAAAAATGCCTGCCAAAGGACTGTTTGCTTTCTTCTTAGGAAGAAAGCTGGATACTAGAATGTTCTTGGGGGAAGCTGGAGTATCAATTACAGATAATCTCTGACTTTTCCTGCTGACTACCATCTAAGAACCTACTGATACTCCATTCTTCTAGGTTATAAAGCTTCATAATCTTCCAGTATTTGGATACACCTTCATTCAACCAATCCCCATATAAAAACCTGTATCTTTGATCATTTGTCTTATTTTTTTTAAAAGATGTTTATTTATTTATTTGTCAGAGAGAGAGCACGAACAGGGGAAGCAATGAACCAAAAGATATATTTTAAAGATTATGAGGGGTGCCTAGGTGGGTTCAGTCAGTTAAGTGTCTGCCTTCGGCTCAGGCCATGATGCCAGGGTCCTAGGATCGAGCCCCTCCTCGGGCTCCTTGCTCAGCGGGGAGCCTGCTTCTCCTTCTCCTTCTGCTGCTCCCTATGCTTGTGCTCTCTCACTAATCTCTCTCTGAGTCAAATAAGTGAATAAAATCTTTTAAAAAAGAAAAAAAAGATAATATGAGTAAATTATCCCATAGGAACAGTGGCCCAATTTGTATTCACAAGAAAAACTAATGAGAATCACTGTTTTTTCCACACACTGCCCCAAATTTTGTACTTTTTTTCTTTTTTAAGATTTTATTTATTTATTTGTCAGAGAAAGAGCAAAAGCACAGACAGCTGGAGGCAGAACAGGCAGAGGCAGAGGGAGAAGCAGTTTCCCTGCTGAGCAAATAGCCAGATGCAGGACTTGATCCCAGGACCCTGGGATCATGACCTGAGCCCAAGGCAGACGTTGAACGGACTGAGGCAAACAGGTGTCTCAGTACTCTTTATTTTTGACAATCTGATAGGTACAAAATTCTGTCCCAATTTATTTTGCACTTCTTTGATTCTAAGTGAGGCCTAACATTTTTATGTCACTTTTTTTTTTCTTTAGGAAATCCTTCATTTTTTTTTTTTAAGATTTTATTTATTTATTTGACAGACAGAATGAGAGAGATCACAAGTAGGCTGAGAGACAGGCAGAGAGAGAGGGGAAGCAGGCTCCCTGCTGAGCAGAGAGACTGATGAGGGGCTCATCCCAAGACCCTGGGATCATGACCTGAGCCGAAGGCAGAGGATTAACCTACTGAGCCACCCAGGCGCCCTCCTTCATGTTTTTTTGTTTTTTAATCTGTCATTCTACTGAGTTTACCTCTTCCTTGATTAGTATACTCCCTATAAAGAAATGACTATCATATGTAGATATAAAATATTTTTTCCAAAGTTTTAACTTTCTGAATTTTTTCTTTTTCTTTTTGTAGTTAAGATTTTATTTATTTCCTTGAGAGAGAGAGAGATCACAAGCTGTGGGGAGGGGCAGAGAGAAAGGGAGAAGCAGACTCCCCACTGAGCAGGGAGCCCCATGTGGGGCTCCATCCCAGGACCCTGAGATCATGACCTGAGCCAAAGGCAGACGCTTAACTGACTGAGCCACCCAGGTACCCCTGAACTTTCTCTTTATAGAATTTTACATTTCTATGTAATCAAATCCATCAGCATTTTCCATTATAGTTCACAGCATGCTCGTCATAGAAGGCTAAATGCAACAATCGTGACAGAAAACCATTTAGATATATTTCTAATACAATGCATAGTTAAGTGCACTTAAAAATAGAAATACACCAAAATATTAGCAATTGGCCTTGGCATCAGACTGCAGATCAAGTCTTTTTTCTCTCTACTTTTCTGTTTTCCAAATTATTGCTAATGAACACAGCACTGTTTTTAAGAAAAAAAAAACAAAAAAAAAAAACTCTATTAGAACAAAAGGAAATGACCCCTAAAGAATGATCTGAAAATTACATATAAGCAATAGGGCTTAAGTTAATAACCCATCAAGGATAATGGGAACAAAGTTAAGACTGGCTGCTTGCTAGGGATTTGAGAACATCGTTATCTACCCAGCTGTGAAAATGTAATTAATTAAAAAAACCAATTAGGGGCACCTGGGTGCCTCAGTGGGTTAAAGCCTCTGCCTTCGGCTCAGGTCATGATCCCAGGGTCCTGGGATGGAGCCCCATGTCGGTCTCTCTGCTCTGTGGGGAGCCTGCTTCCTCCTCTCTCTCTCTGCCTGCCTCTGCCTACTTGTGATCTCTCTCTGTCAAATAAGTAAATAAAATCTTAAAAAACAACAACAACAACAAATGAAAAATAGGAAAAGAACAGGATAAAAGGGGCGCCTGGTGGCTGAGTTGGTTAAGTGGCTGCCTTCGGCTCAGGTCATGATCCCAGGGTGCTGGGATGGAGCCCTGCATCGGGCTCCCTGCTCAGCAGACAGTCTGCTTCTCCTCTCCCTCTGTCTCTGTCTCCCAGCTTGTGGTCTCGGTCTCTCTCTCTGTCAAATAAATAAATAAGATCTTAAAAAAAAAAAAAGAAAAGAAAAAGAAGAACTGGGGAAAACAATGCAGAAATCACAGTTCAAAAAGATCCAGAATACCTAATTATCCAAATTTCTGCAACACTGAGTACATACAAATGCCCTTGACCATCCCTGAAGGGAAACCCAGACAAGAAAGTGGTACAGCCTCCCCCACTGCACGGGAGTAGACTTGCCAAATTCAACAAAAATATTTCTCAAAATACAAATGGCCTCACCTGTGAACTGCAAGACTTAAAAAATCTTCTTCTCAGTACACTCCCACTTGGACATCGGAGGGCAACAGTAACTACCTGAGGAATAAAAATGTTCAAGTAAGAATTCCAATCTGCTGCTCTTTGCGGTTCCAAAATGGCTACTCCTATGAAACGTCCCTAATTCTAAACAGCTTGTGGGGGGGTTTGTAGGCAATTTATTTCTGAGAGTAGTAGGCCAAAAAAAAGGTCCAGATAAAAATCACTCTAAATATAAAAATGCCTTCTGAAATGGAAGAACATCTTCCTATTGACTGACATCAATGATGGAACCTTACAGAGAGGACACCAGAAACTAGATGCTTCTGTCTAGATAATATCAAGGTTGCACAAGGGCTTCAAAATTCATCTGCCAAACCAAGAAGGTCCAGTGGCACCTCAGAATCTAGAGGAGAAAAACATCGGACTGGAAGGAAACAAAAGTTCCCAAGTGACTCTATAGGCTGTGCCCAGAGGAGTAAGTCCGAGTTGCGGGGATAGAGCTTCTGCTCCATCTGCTTTATGGACTGGGTTTCCACATCATTTCTTCCTGATTAAACAGTTAAATAGCTAAAAAGAGCCTGGAAACTGTTAGTTAATATTAAAAGTCATTTAAAAAACAGATGAGGAAGTAATTTTTTCTCATGTTTATTAAATGATAACTGTCAGGAAACCCTTTTTTATATTATTTTATTTAAAAAAATTTTTTTTAAGATTTTGTTGATTTATTTGACAGAAATCACAAGTAGGCAGAGAGAGGCAGGCAGAGAGAAAGGGGAAAGCAGGCTCCCTGCTGAGCAGAGAGGCGGATGTGGGGCTCGATCCCAGGATCCTGAGATCAGGACCTGAGCTAAAAGCAGAGGCTTAACCCACTGAGCCACCCAGGTGCCCAGGAAACCCTTTTTAAAAAGATTTTATTTTGCAAGAGAGAAGGAGCACAAGCTGGGGGAGGGGCAGAGGAAGAGGCAGACTCCCCGCTGAGCAGGCAGCTGACCTAGCACTGGATCCCAGGACCCTGAGATCACGATCAGAGCCCAGGGCACCCAGGTGCCGGTCCTCTCATTTTTAAATTTTTACCATATTATTTAGAACTCTATGGATGGGGACGCCTGGGTGGCTCAGTTGGCTAAGTGGCTGCCTTCGGCTCAGGTCATGATCCCAGTGTCCTGGAATCGAATCCCACATAGGGCTCCTTGCTCGGTGGGGAGACTGCTTCTCCTTCTGCCTCTGCCTGGCACTCTGCCTCCCTGTGCCTTCTCTCTCTCTGACAAATAAATAAATTTCCTAAAAAAAAAAAAAAAAAAAAAGAAAGAAAAGAAAAAATAATAAAGAACACTATGGATGGTTATAATACTAAATAAATAACACTAAAAGAATCAAAATGTACTGCTTAAGTAAGAACTGGATTATGTTTCAGATCCCTTTCTCTATCAGAAACCCATGCAGTCTTTAGTTCTATTAGTCTGCTCTGAAATGCAAGCAAGCTTTGGCCAGAACAGGATTTTCTTATGGCTCATTATCATAGAGTCACAGCTACCCCATATACATATATATATAGTGAAAGCCCCACCAATCTGTTCTGTAGGAATGATGTCATGTGTTTTAAAAACAGAGTAAATTCATAAAAGGTGTTCCCTGTCAAACCTGAGCTATATTTAATTACTTCTGTATGATAAATGGTTGTCATGGATACCAACCCAGCGCTTGATGTGAAGTGAGAAGGTAAAGTGTGCAGGTCAGGACGGACACAGCACAGACTTGAATTTGTTGGGTATAACAGAAAGGAATTAGAAATTGTTTTTCTTTTTTTGTGTTTCTCCTGGAGGTTCGGTGTCTGGGTTGTACCCTTCATTGTCTCTACTATGACTTCTGGATTTTCCTAGGACATCCGAAATCCTCAACTAAAACGTTGTGAATGTGTTGATAAAAATAAGACCCTCCTGGTGGCTTTCCTGGTGGCCTCAAAACCGGTTTTTAAGGAGTCTAACCACTGCTGAGCCCTAAGACCATTAGGGCTTTCCTTTGTGGCTTTAAAGGACTTTGGGGCTTTAAAGACCTGTGCTCCCAGGACATTAGAGACCCATCTGGACCTCAGCCTGGGGACCACAGGAAGGCAGCAGACATGGCTGCAGCACAGTTGGCCAAAGGACAGCTCAAGGCAGAGGCAGAGGCAGAGGGAGAAGCAGTTTCCCTGCTGAGCAAATAGCCAGATGCAGGACTTGATCCCAGGACCCTGGGATCATGACCTGAGCCCAAGGCAGACGTTGAACGGACTGAGGCAAACAGGTGTCTCAGTACTCTTTATTTTTGACAATCTGATAGGTACAAAATTCTGTCCCAATTTATTTTGCACTTCTTTGATTCTAAGTGAGGCCTAGGGGACCACAGGAAGGCAGCAGACATGGCTGCAGCACAGTTGGGCAAAGGACAGCTCAACACGGAGTGAAGGGTCAGTCAAACCCTGCCCCCCCAAACTGCAAACCGTCCTTCAACTCAAACATCTACACAGTAGCTGCATTCTTCAGTTCCTCTATCTTAGGGGGAAAACTACAATTTGAAGTCATCTGCCTATACTGATTCTGTTTGAATAAGTAACTCCTGGGGCGCCTGGGTGCCTCAGGTCGTGATCTCAGGATTCCAAGATCAAGCCCCAGGATGGGCTCCCAGCTTCTCCCTCTCCTTCTGCCTGCAGCTCTGCCTGCTTGTGCTCTCTGTCAAATGACTAAATAAAATCTTTAAAAAATAAATAAATAAATAAATAACTCCTTTGCTGAGCTCAAGTTTGGAAAAGCCAGTGTATCCTTTCTCTGCCCCATAAAGTGGGAGGGTTCTTAACGTCCCACCCTCAGTGGACAGTGGACGGACGGTGGGCTCCAAAATAGGACGAGAGCTGAGGGGTTTGAGATCACACCACATGCAAAACTGACCTAGTTACAGTGCAATCTCATACACATGGGTGCCCACTCTTCTTTCTAAACCCAAACCGAGATAAGAGGTACTCACTTGACATTAAAGAAAACAAAATATATTTAATTTCCAAAGGAAAAAAAACAAGCTTACTTCTTCAGCTGTTTCAGGAGGTTCTTCAGGTAGATCAAGAACCTAAAGGTAAACTGGGATTTGTAAGAGGAATGTAAACATTTTGAAGGAAAAAAAAAAATCCCAGCAAGAAGAGTTCCTTTTAATGCAGAGTTCAGGCATATCTAAGATTAATGAAATCTTTTAATAGATATTTATAAAAAATATATAATATGGAAGAGCTCAATTAATAAACATTTTTGGGGAAGCAACTCTGTGCTGAACAGATGATAGTAACAGGAGGTGAGCTGACAGCTACCCATCCATGCACATGTAAGAATCTTATTTTTATGATATTCCAAGATACTATATAAAATATATTATTTAAAGAAACAGAGGATAAATATTAACTTCAACAGACCCCCCCAGATTATTTAGGTGCATATGTGCATATATATCACATCTTAAGTGCATATTTTTCTTGACTGGCACTTCTAGGGGACTAGATAACCACCATTCACTTTGGTTGTCTTCATGATTTACTCTGCTTTCCCTATTTCTATTTATCCATTACAAAACCAGGTGTTCAGACCATTTTCTCTCATTAAACAGTTGCCAACAATTTCCCCTTAGGTATGCTTTTTGTTTTTTAATATCGCAGACTCATGTTTTATAGCATTTTATCTAACCAGCATTAATTGCATTTTATCAAGTAAACCATTTGTTTTTCTCTGGTATCAAAAGCACAGGTGATAGTCAACCAAAATTTACCATCAACTTGAGACAACCCATGTTATGAACAAAAAGCAAAGAATCCTGGATTTTAAATTAGTCCATACAGTTCATTAGATCTTTTTGAAATGCTAGAAATAGTTCAGTGACCTGATTGCCATCTTCAAGCCCCATTAAAGGACCAAGAAACCTCAGACAGAGAAGCAACACTTTAGAAACTATTTTCAGGGAAAATAGGGCCTCCCAGCTTTCCCTAAGAGTTAGTGCAAAGAGACCTATTTCCAACCTTTGCCACCTCCAAAAGAGTTAACTTGGGACTGAAGATATGAAAGAACAGAAGGAATAATAAATCAGAGCACTGTTCCAAAGTGAATGGTTGCTAACCCCTTTCCTAGCAGGGCCACTGAGAAAAATGACACTTGCTAAATATGGCTTAATCGTGTCTTAGCAAGCTGTAGGAATGTTTTGGTTAATAAACATTATATTTTTCATTTCTACATAATCGAATTCCCTCCTCAGAAATAACTGAGTATTTTCAAAACCTATTAGCATCTTTTTCACATCTTCTTTCTGTGTGGCGTTCAGAACATTAATACCAAACAGGAAAAGTGATTCTCAATGAAGCTGATCCCTATGCAGGATAGTGGGAGACACCATCTGGATCAAAAGCCAGTCCTAATCTTCACTCACTGTGCCACCTGGCCCAGACAGCAGTATTCCTATCACACAGTGATACGATTACATGAGTAGGCATTTAGGAATGAACCTCCTTCCGCGTGGGCTGCTCAGCAGATGGTGAGATTTTGGTTAACAGCTTAGGCAAGTTTCGTCTCTTTGCTGCTTCTCTGTTTGATGTTTTAAAAGCCTCATTTTCCAGCACCAAATCTTCGTCACCCTAGTCAAAAAAACAACAGACTATTTCTAAATGCTCTCTATTACCAACTTTATTCTATTCACAGTGGTTATTTCTTTTACCCCAATGGCATTTCAGTAAAAAACAGAATTTAGTTCGGGTGCCTGGCTGGCTCAGTAAGTAGAGCAAGCAACTCCACCTCAGTGTCATGAGTTCAAGCCTCACATGGGGCATGGAGCCCACTTAAAAAAAAAAGGGGGGGGGAATTTAGTCATTATGTGGCCCAGAAACTTAAAGTATTATCTCCTTAGACAAGAAAACATGGAGCTTAACATCTTGTAGAAGCTGGTGTGGCTCAGTGGGCTAGACATCTGTCTTCGGAAGGGGTCATGATCCCAAGGTCCTGGAATTGAGCCCTGTGACGGGCTCCCCACTCAGCAGGAAGCCTGTTTCTCCCTCTCCCTCTGCCTGCCTCTGCCCTTGCTTGTGCACTCTCTCTCTGTCAAATAAAATCTTTTAAAAAAAAAGAAAAGAAAAGAAACTACCCTTATCCAGTTCTGGGGCTCCCTCTGATAGATATAAGGTTGGAGGGATCTTTCCATTTTAACTGATCCCCAAGTTTTTCAGTAGGATGGAAGAAAGAAGAAAACCTGGATGATAACCTTTTCTCCTTTCATTAAAGAAAGCAAGACAGTGCAAGGTATTATGCCTCAAAAGGTTGTGGAAATAGAGCATGTATGTAAAAACATGTCTGCGTATGTGACCATGAAATACTTTCATAGCTGAATGTTGCCCTAGTATCCTGTTATATATAAACATGCTTAAGTTCTCAAATTCAAACTTTCATCTTTCTTTTGAATTAATCACTTTAGAAGGCAAAGGATTTTTTATTCCAGAAACCATAAAGATTACTTTTTGTTAATATTATCCATTAAAACTTTCTTCTGTGCAAAATAATTGCCAGATTCTCAGACACATGCTTATCTGTAACAAGTTCCTCTGAACTTCCAGTAGCAAATGATGAAATTCAGACTCAATGGCAAGGGAAAAAAAGAGCCAAAGGTTAATTTGGCTTTATGGAAACAGAGTCAAACATAATGAGCAAAATGTGAGCTTATAGTACCAGGGAGATCTTAGTTAAGGAAAGATCTGAATTTCCTCCTATAAAATATGGTGATTAGGGTGGCTCCTGGGTGGCTCAGTGGGTTAAAGCCTCTGCTTTTGGCTCAGGTCATGATCCCAGGGTGCTGGGATTGAGCCCCACATCGGGATCTCTGCTCAGCAGGGAGCCTGCTTCCTCCTCTCTCTGACTGTTTCTCTGCCTACTTGTAATCTCTGTCTGTCAAATAAATAAATAAAATCTTTAAAAAAAAATATGGTGATTAGTCAACAGTTCTCTCAAAGACTACCTTATTTAAAGCTTATCAAGCACTTAAGTTATACGCTCTTTTGGCACCAAAAGCATTTAGCCCTTCGACACACAGATATGCTCTATGTATAATCACGATCAGTAAAGACTCCCAAAAAACAGATCATATTACTAGTTTAACCTAATTTGAAAATAAAAAATTCAATATCTGTGATATATATTGGACGTACTTATACATTGCACACAATATACATCTATTGCATATACGTAATAGCATAATTCAAAATATGGAGAGAGGATATTTTCTAACCCCAAGCTTATGGCCATTGCTCAACTTCCAGGTTTCACCCGTCATCTGATAAAAGCGTTCTTCCAGTTTTCTCAGCTTCATTTCCTGGTGAGGTTTTAGAACATTCTCTATGTATCTGCTGGCCTGTTCAAAAAAATAAAAGAGGCATTGTTATTATGCCATTCCTAAGATTTTATGTTGTCTATAAAGTAATAAATAGGAACCAGGAGAAGAAATTGTGTTCTCATACTAACTCAATTTTGCCCAAAAAGCAGCAGCCTCCACTTCAACAACACTCTCTACAAATCTGCATTTATACGTAATGCTGATAAAAAACAAATGTTCTATATTTATGCTTATTTGGGAGTCTGCCTCTATCCCTTTAGTGTGTTTTCATTTCTTTTTCTTTTTTTTTTTCCCCAGTAAGGGTTTATTTTTTTAAGTAATCTCTACACCCAACGTGGGGCTCAAACTCATGACCCTGAGATCAAGAGCTGTGCGCTCCACCGACTGAGCCTGCCAGGCGACCCCGTCCTGCATTTTCAGTGCGATGAAAACTTACTAGGAGCTAGGGATGTAAAGATGCCTAGGACGGGATCCTTGACTTCTAGGAGCTTTGAGTCAGAGCCGTTTGTTGAAAGCACGCCCAACACATGAAGTTGCTCGGAAGAGTGTTCACTGAATAGCTTAATCACAGCGAAGCTGAACATATCTTTGGACTTAAAATGAAAAACGGAGACTATAAGAGAGAGAGAAACAGGAATTTCGAAAACCACACTGGAATTTTTAGGCTAACGGTGCAATATTTCAAAATTCTAGGGATTTTTAATCTGTTCTTTGCCAAATCAAACTATCAATCAAGTATCAGAAGAGAAAAATCACCATTTTACAACGCCAAGCCTCAAAAATTTTACTTATCAGCAGGTACGTATCTGCACAAGTTCGGCACTTCACCATCCGCATACATAGACTATACAGAGACACTAATTTTCTTTTGTCCAAAGAGAGAACTTTAATGGGTTAAAGACTTCTGCCAAACAAAAGAATCGAATCCTAACTTTACACACCTTTAGGAATTACAGACACCGGTTAACAGAGAGTTGGCATCGAGATGTCCTTATAATTTACTAATTATCAAGCAAGGCTTTACAATTAATAGTTACTTCCACTGGAAATAACATCATACAGTTCAAATATTTACAAGAGAATTTCTTACAAAAGATCTTGCAAGGACACTTTTCTTGTTCTAAATCCAGATTAGGGTAGTTACAAATGTAGGAATCTCCCATCTCCCAACAAATACATAGGCTTTTACTCTTGTGACTTGTTTTCAGCCTTCACTTGTTTACTTAAAAAGGAGTCATTTGTTCACCAGAAGAACAAGTTGTTTAGAAGCTGAAACATATTGATAACAAGTTGAAAACAAGTTGGTAGCTTTCAAAATATTAGTGCCCTTGTACCAAGCCTTTGTAAAAGGGCTTATGTTAAAACAAACAAATTAAATAAATAGTTTATGTTTTTAATATTTAGATGAAAGTCCACAGGAGTCCCTGCTTTCACAAAGGTTAATGATCAATCTGGCTACTGCCTCAGTCTGACAGTTCAAGGTCAAGAAATAAGTGTTAGATGGTCATGCACAGTAAATGGAATTCCTAGCTATCAAACACCATCTTGAATAGGTTACAGCAGTGCTCAGAGGGAAAGTTATACCTGTAAACATCTAATTAAAGAATGATCTTAAATCAAGAAGTTAACCTTAAAAAACTGTAAAAAGAACAAACTAAACAGAGAATAGAACAGAAAAACAACGAGAACCAAAATTGGTTCTTTAAGAAGATCCAAAAAACTGACAAACCTTTAACCTGATGAAGACAAAGAGAAGACAAATAATTAAAATCAGAAATGTGAGGATATTACTACCAGCCTTACAGAAATAAAAAGGATTAGAAAAACAGTATTAGAACAATTGTAGACCATCACATCAGAAAACCAAAATAAAATAGACAAATTCCTAGAAACACAAATTGCCTAAACTGATTCAAGAAGAAATAGGAGGGGTGCCCGGGTGGCTCAGTGGGTTAAGCCTCTGCCTTCGGCTCGGGTCACGATCCTGGGGTCCTGGGATTGATCCCTGCATTGGGCTCTGCACTCAGTGGCACTCAGTGGGGAGTCTGCTTTTTTCCTCTCTCTGCCCCTCCCCCCTGCTCCCTCTCTCTGTCAAATAAATAAAGAAAATGTTTTGGAACTAGACAGAGGTAGCAGTTGCACAACACTGTGACTCTTCTAAATGCCACTGAACTGTACATTTTAAATTGGGTTTTTTTATTTGGCAATTTTAGGTCATGTGAATTTGACCTCAATAATTAAAAAAATCTAAGCACAAACATAGAAAGCAATAGACCTCAATTTTAAATGCCCCAGATACTCTAAATTCTCTCTATATATGCTCTCTAAAAATTATGCTTTACCTTTTCACCCTGCGCCTCTTGTTGTTTTTTTCTGACAAGTTTTTGTTTTTCCTCATTCTTCTCTTCTTCTTCTAAGACAGCAAAACATAAAAGTGCTTTTTAATTCCCAAATATGATAAACTGAATGCTCTTTTCTCTGAAAAGAGTCTGTAGATAACATTTCAAGAGACACAACCCTCCAAAAAAGACTAATTTTTGAAATAATGAATGAGATATAAGCAGGTAGTTCAAACAAAGAAATCCACAAGTAAAATCTATAAGAAAAGGTCTGTTCTGAAACAAAAGTTCTTTCACATGTATTGATATTTTATGTATAGTTTGGGTGAGGAGGCTTCAAGAATGATTATGGGAGCACCTGGGTGGCCCAGTTAAGCATCTGCTTTTGGCTCTGGTCATGATCTCAGGGGTCCTGGGATCGAGCCCTGCGTCAGGCTCCCCGCTCAGTGGGAAGTCTGCTCTGCTTCTCCCTCTCTCTCTCTCTCTGCCCCTCCGCCCCTCGTGCTCTCTCACGCTGTCAAATAAATAAATGAAATCCTAAAAAAGGAGTGATTATGCTGGGGAGAGGCTGGGTGGCTCAGTTGGTTAAGCATGTGAATTGGATTTTAAGTGTAGGCCCTAGATAGGGCTTCAGCAGCTCCAAGACATGGCATAGAAGCTCGTTACTGAACCTGAGCATGGAATGCTGCACTGCAGACTTGAGTACCATTTGGTCACCCTTAGACATGACCATAAAAGCAAAATGCCAGGATGCCTGGCTGTCTCAGATCTCAGGGTGGTGAGTTCAAGCCCCATGTTGGATGTAGAGATTGCTTAAAAATAAAAACATAAAATCATAAAATCATTAAAAATAAATAAATAAATGCAGGGGAGCCTGGGTGGCTCAGTGGGTTAAAGCCTCTGCCTTCGGCTCAGGTCATGATCCCAGGGTCCTGGGATCGAGCCCCACGTCAGGCTCTCACCTCAGCGGGGAGCCTGCTTCCTCCTCTCTCTCTCTCTGCCTGCCTCTCTGCCTACTTGTGATCTCTGTCTGCCAAATAAATAAATAAAATCTTTAAAAAAAAATAAAAATAAAAATAAAAATAAAAATAAAAATAAATGCAGGGGCGCCTGGGTGGCTCAGGGGGTTAAAGCCTCTGCCTTAGGCTTGGGTCATGATCTCAGGGTTCTGGGATCCAGCCCCACATTGGCTCTTTGCTCAGCAGGGAGCCTGCTTCCCCCACTCTCTGCCTGCTTGCCTGCCTGTCTGCCTACTTGTGATCTCTCTGTCAAATAAATAAATAAAATATTAAAAAAATAAATAAATGCAACATGCCTAGACCCCGAAGCTGGGGTGTGTTTGGCAATTCCGATGATTGAACCACTATTAGGTTATTAGCCACTGAATGGCAAGAGAAAGGATTTTTGCTGTTGTATGAACTTTTTCATTCTGGGTATACTAAATTAGTTATTTTAAGTGGAGCCCAACATGGGCTTGACTTCACAAGGCTGAGATCAAGACCTCAGCTGATATCAAGAATGGTAGCTTAACCGACTGATTGACCCAGGCACCTGCACCAAGTTTCATTTAAATTAATTTAACTGTATTCCCTTGAGGAATTATCCATCTTTTTGGAAAATATATCCATTAACCTGCCTGGCTCTTTAAATAGGAACACTCCTTTCTGTCAACTACTTTCTCTCCTGGCAATAAGTGTTTCCTCAGATTTATGAAAGAAAGATTAGGGGAGCAGCAAAGCACACAGGAAATCAGAAGGCCCAGTCTGGCCACTAACTTGCTATGTGATGAATCAGACTTAGTGATCTTAAGACTCCCTCCTGACTCTGAAACAAAGAGTATAGCTTCTAAATAAATCAATAACAGGTGATTAAGGAGCTTTAATTTTTTTTTTTTTTTTAAGTAGGCTCCATGCACAATGTGGGGCTTGAACTCACGACCCTAAGATCAAGAGTTACATGCTCTACTGACTGAACCAACCAGGAGTCCCAAGGGGCTGTAATCCTTAAAGCCACTGAGCTTTTGATACATTTCATCATACAAATCTTTACAAAATATGGAGGATTAAAATTTTGGGAAGACAAAGTATATAAACAAGCTGATTTTTTACTCATTTGAAGAAAATCTGACAATTAAGCACTGGGGATTTATAGTCCATTAAAAATCAAGACAAAAGTTGTAATGATGACTCTACCTTGAAATTGCACATCACCAATTAACAGTAAGTAGCTCTTACTATGCAGAGTTCTAGAATAAATAAAGGAAAGAAACTTGAGTAGAAAATTATAAAAGGGTAGCATAAATAATAAACTTACCTTTCAGATACACTTGGGATGATTTAAATGAATTAAGCCATGAGGTAGTCACAGAAATAATTAAAGTAAGAAGAGCAAGCAGTAAGAAAATCCGACCACACAGCAAAATTAGATCTTTAATGCCTTATAAAGGTAAAGAAAAAAAAAGTACAATTAAAATTCAAAACACTTTTCTTGATACTAATAATAAATAGCAAGGCATTAAAATAATTTAGAGTGGTATAGTAAAAGTTAATTTATGCAACTGTCTTATGATTTTTTTCATACAGTCTCCTTTGTGACCTAAAATCATCATGGTTGTCATTGCCAGAACGAGTTTTCAGAAAACAATTTTAGAATAGCTTCTGTCTCAGGAATATATGTATAATTCAAGTGACTGGCTACATTATAAACAGTATGACTATCAATAATGAATAAATTCTGGTTTCCCTCTATCCAGAGAAGGAAATGAAATTATCCCACCAGGAATTAAATTGTGACAGTATCATCTTGTCAAATTCTCATTCTATGTAAAAACAGTCATTCTGAAACATGAAATTCATATTTCTCATAGTTAAATTATACAACTGTGTACTTCTCTATTTCTTAATGTTTATTCCATCATTTGCAAATAAAATTACTATATACAGGGGCGCCTGGGTGGCTCAGTGGGTTAAAGCCTCTGCCTTCGGCTCAGGTCATGATTCCAGGGTTCTGGGATCGAGCCCTGCATCGGGCTCTCTGCTCAGCGGGGAGCCTGCTTCCTCCTCTCTCTCGGCCTGCTTCTCTGCCTACTTGTGATCTCTGTCTGTCAAATAAATAAATAAAATCCTTAAAAAAAAATTACTATATACATACATGTTCACCTAGAAATAAGTAAAAATTCAGTATTTCATCTTATTTTAAGAATAAAGATGAAAATTAGATGAGCAAAAATGTAACAAATACCTATATTCTGTGTAACATTATTTGCTAATAGTGAGAGAACAAATACAAAGTTGGGTTAAAAATGCTTTCTATGCTTCCCTCTCTCTCTCTCTCTCTGCCTGCCTCTCTGCCTACTTGTGATCTCTGTCAAATAAATAAATAAAATCTTTAAAAAGAAAAAATGCTTTCTAACCTCCAAGAGTTTTTAGTTTGGTAGTTCTCAAAAGTTACCAGGCATAATCAGGGCAATAATCAGTCCAATTAAAGATTAAAGAAGGAATTATATATACATACTTAAATATTTCTTTCTTTCTTGAAGTATAGTTGACTAGACTTGTAATAAATACTTTATTTATTTTAATTAATTTTTTAAATATTTTTAAGTAATATCTGTACTCAATGTGGGGCTCAAACTCACAACCTGGAGATCGAGAGCCACACATCTTCAGACTGAATAGGCCAGGTGCATAAATATTTCATTTTTAACTCAAAACTGATATATATGTTATCCTTTTAAAAAATAGCAACTTAAAGTTGTTTAAAGAAATACTTGTTTTGGGACACCTGGGTAACTCAGTTGGTTTGGCTCAGGTCATGATCTCAAGGTCCTGGGGTCTAGGGATTGAGTCCTGCATCAGGCTCCCTCCTCAGTAGGGATTCTGCTTCTCCCTCTCCCTACCCTCCACCCTGCTGGTGCGCTCTCGTGCTTGCTTTCCCTCTCTCAAATAAATAAATGAAATATTTTTTTAAAAAGAAAGAAATACTGTTTTGTTGCCTCACAGTCCTCCAACTTTCGCCAGCATTAGCTGTTGACCCAAGTGTTGTTCAAAACAACACCTAACTAAATCTAGGGTATAATAAAAGTAATTTAATACCTACAGCTTTGGTATTTAAAGAAACCACTCAGGTATGGGATTTATGTTCCATTATGCTGCTTTTTGTTCTAACAAGCAAGCAATTTGTAAATGTCATATGGGAATATAAAAGAACTAGATATGTGTGCACATCTTTGAAGTAAAAAAAAAATTTATTAAATTGATTTTTTTGGTACTTATTCTCAAGAGCCCATGTACAAGGCACTTCAAAGAATAATACATGTGAGGAAGCGGCATTAATATATTTAGCTGTAAGTACAAGTAAAAATGGCAATGAAGGCTTTTACATACTAGAAAAAGATAGGAATCATTTTTTTCAGTGTCTGTCCAAAAATACAACCCAGGTGAATGGACAGGTCTGGGATTTCTAATTTTCCAGCCAGGAATTCAATTAGCAGCTCCGGCTGAGTATTAGTGTCTGTAAGTACTGCTCCATATGTAACCACTCCTGCAGTCACTGCACTGGGACATATGGTTTGTAAAATAGACTTAACTACTATTACTGGATATTTGGAGGATGCATATCAAGAAAATAAAGTAGGGGCACCTGGGGAGCTCAGTCGTTAAGCATCTGCCTTTGGCTCAGGTCATGATCCCACCTGGGATCATGCCCATGCCCTCCTCAGCAGGAAACCTGCTTCTCCCTCTCCCTCTGCCCCTGTTTGTGTTCCCTCTCTCACTGTCAAATAAATAAATAAAATTAAAAAAAGAAAAACCATTAAGTGCGAAGTAGAAGAGAATCTAAATTAACAGAGGTGGATACTGTAAAGGCAAGGGAGCAGGTAAATTCAAGAATAGGTAAGTGTGAATTTAACATTTCCTTATGTAATTTGGATAAAGGTCTTTTGTTAGATTCCAATACAGCCTGAGTGAGTAGGAGGTTTCTAGAGGGACTCTGCCGATTTTTTTAAAAAAGCATTTTATTTTAAGTTCTTATTTTCAGCAACATTTCTAGGTACCTGACTTTTTGGGGCTGGAGAGAGGGAGAATATACAAAGCTAGGTTTTAGCATGGTCTCTAACATAAAAACTGAACACAGGGAGGGAGACATGCATGTAAACCCATGACTAACATATCCAAAAATGGACTGATTCTCAAGTCCATTTTCCTCTCAGTTTTCCCTTTATCACTGGCACTATCAACTACCAAGGGTTGTTCACCTTCACATGTAGGAGTCATTCTTGAATCCCTCCTTTCCATTAATCCATCCACAAATCCTGTTGATTCCACTTTGTAAATATTCCAAGTCTGTGCACATTTCATCTGTTATCATCCTAGTCCAGGCCATCATCACTACTTGCCTACTTCAAGAGTCTCACTTGCTTCACTGCTTCCACTACAGTCTCCTTCCAAAATATTCTCCACAGAATCCAGTGACTATCCAGTTATCCCTATGCCTAGCGTGGGGCTTGAACGCACAACCCTAAGATTGAGTCGCATGCTCCGCTGACTGAGCTAGCCAGACGCTCCTCCAGGGACTCAAAGCCTTAGGGACGCGCTCAACCTCCGTTAAGTCTGTTTTCTCAAGTGTAAAATGAGGATTGTAACAGTAACCACCCCCATAGTTATAATACAGATTGGATGAGATAACAGAGTTAGGCTTTTAACGGGTGCTCAGTGAATGATACTATCTCGAGCCACTCTCCCCCTAAGTCTCCTTGTTTCATTAATAGTGATGTTTATCCTTTCCTCTAACACGTCACAATTCCCTTTGTCTAGAATGTTTTTGGCTCTGACTCCGTATCATTCCTTAAATTCCACGGAAGGCCTACATCACACCACCCTATTTCCTTGTGAGCGTTCAAAACAATCTGCCAGTAGTTTCTACGTATGTTCCTGTGCTTTCTGCCAGCCTCTCCCCTTGCACGGAAAACTGGAACACCACCTTCTCCGCCAAAAAACAGTCAGCCACCGCAATGCCCCGGGAGTCTCGCTCCCCGAGACTCGGCGCCGGAAGAGAGACGGAAGCGATGCAGCCTGGGAATTGTAGTCCACGCCGCCCATAGAGGCGGCGGCGGCCTGAGACCGGAATTCGACGCAACACTCGTGGGAAAGTTATGCGGTTGTGAGCGCCAGAAGGAAAAAGCCAACACTTACCTAGGTCGGGGATCCCACGCCGGAGCTCCAGACACAAGAGGGGGAGAGCAGAGAGGAGGAAAACCCCAATGACCCCACGAGAAGCCATGCTAGCAGAAGCTCCGCGGCCGGGGGAGCCCCGCCCCTTCCGGTTGCGCCTTCCTTCGGGCGATGGTGGGGATCCCTTCCTAAGGGACGGTTTTTTCCGGGGGCCGCTAGGTCCTGAAGCTGGGTCGTTGGTTCGACTGATATCGCCCCTGTTTTAGAACTCATAATCTGTAGTCTTATATCAGAAGAAATGCAGGTCACCTCCCCACGTCACATGTTGTCCAGAGAGATGGTGTGTCTGGCAGCCCGCCTAGCCAAATCCTGTGAAAGCAAAGCCTGGGCGCTGGCTGCAGCTCCCTGGCGACAGGGCCCGCAGCGCTCGTCCCTTCGGCTGTTGGACTCTGGAAGCTGTGAAAAAGAACTCTCGAAAGTAAAATACCGGAAGAGAAAGTGTAGGGGCAGCTGACTGTCAGAAGGCAGCCTCTTGCCTCGTGATCTGCCTTGTGTCCGCAGTGGGTGATTGTGGGCTTATGGGTGGGAGCTACTAAGCACTACTCTTCTGAAGGATCTTCCTTACCTCCCTAACGGTTCCTGGCCCCTTCTGCAGCCTCTTGTTCCTATGGGTTGATGCTTGAAAAGTGGGGCCTGAACCAAATTCCGGGTCCTGGAGACCCTGGAGTCCTGCTACTCCTTGCCCTGTGCCTCAGTTTTGCCAGAGCAGGTGTGACTGTTGAAGGCCTAATTTGGCCTCACAGTTCTATGACCTCACTGCCATCGCATGACTCACCTCTGTGGCGTTTCTAAGCAGCTGCAACTCAGTTAAGCTCTGATGGTCCCCACAATTTACGAAGTTTAATGCTTTGAAATTTCGTTTTCTGACCCATCCATCAGTCCTCCCACCTCACCTTTCCGTGTATTCTAACACATTTATTGAACCCCACAGTTTTGCCCGGTACTGCAGAACTACGGGAGATTCAAATACATGTAAGTTACTGAATCTGTCCTCAAAAAACTCAGTTTACTAGCCCTGTAAACGGATAAATACAATACAGCACCTGAGTGCTGTAATAGGGATACACACAGGGTGCTGGCAAACCTTACCCCAAGGGCTTGGGGGAACGCCTTCAAATTGTGTTGTAAATGTCAGGAATTAAGGGGGCCAGTGAGGAACAAAGGAATAGTGAGATTTCAAATTTAGGAAACTGAATGCAGAGGAAATACCAGTTTAAATATGTAATGGTTTAAATAGTTTAAATATTAAATATTTAATGGTTTAAAAGAGTGCAGTTTAAAGTGGAGGTGTGTAGTTAGGTTAGAGCTAGGCCTACGGGGAACTTTGTTTTGTATATAGGCTAAGAACTTTGTCCTGAAAGTGAAAATACAAAATAGGAGGGCACAATCTCAAAATCAGTCCAGACGAAGGAATATAAATTATAACATGACATACCGATTAAATAATTAAATATATTGATTCATTCAGCGATTCTCATTAGTTGTCTGCATGAAGACTCCATCATCATTTTGTTACGATTTCCTCCTTTGGGTATTTTTTTTTTTTTTTTTTTTTCCCCTGGCTTCCTATATTCCTAATTTCATCTATTGATGGCGCCAGTGAGTTTCTGTCAAGACAATAAAGTGGAAGCTTATAAGTACTCCAGATTTGCTTGAGGTCATACATTTCCCAAACTTTGTCCATTCTGAAGTCTCTTCACTGTGATTGTCTATGGCTAACTCCTCATAAAAAGACTGCCAAAATAACCCGCTCTGGAATAAAACCAAATTTCTCACTTACTGCTTTAAGAGAGAATACTATTTTGACAAAAATCTTAGGTTTTCTTTTTTTTTTAAGATTTTATTTATTTGAGGGGCTCCTGGGTGGCCCAGTGGGTTAAACCTCTGCCTTCGGCTCAGGTCGTGATCCCAGGGTCCTGGAATCGAGCCCCGCATCAGACTCTCTGTTCAGCGGGGAGCTGCTTCCCCTTCTCTCCCTGCCTGCCTCTCTGCCTACTTGTGATCTGTCTCTGTCTGATCTCTCTGTCAGAGAGATCACAAGTAGGCAGAGAGGCAGGCAGAGAGAGGGGGGAAGCAGGCTCCCCGATGAGCAGAGAGCCTGATGCGGGACTTGATCCCAGGACTCTTAGATCATGACCTGATCTGAAGGCAGAGGCTTAACCCACTGAGCCACCCAGGTGCCCTTATTAGTTTCTCAGAGAGATGGTCAAGGGTGGTTTTTATAGGGTTTTGGAGTTTAGATTAAGGTAGTTTAAGGTGGCCTTCTCAATTCCTTTGTGGGTACCTCACTGGGAATGGACATAGTGCATGGTATAATAGTTAAGGACTGGTGGGCTGAGCAAAATGAAGGACTTGAGAACAGATTAGCTTCCTTTTTTGGTAAGCAAGGAGTTTTTCCAGTTGAGTCATTAGTTCAACTTCTCAGTACCTGAGAGGGAAACTTTTTACCCAGATGAACAACCTATTGTTCAAATAAATGGATTTTCAGGAAAATATAAAGCTAACAATTAAGTTATGTACTAACTGAGAGCCTTACTTGTGGGCGAGAATTTCCTGAGACAAGTAATGGAGTCATTATGGTGATTGATGTAGTTCTAAGTGATGATAATTAAACTATGGGCTAGATGTCTCAATTCCTACAATATAATCTTATGAACACAATATAATCTTATAAACTATGGGCTAGATGTCTCAATTCCTACAATATAATCTTATGAACATACTTGGGTATAGTATAAGAGAAAGGAGTTTTAAAATCTAGATAGTTCATATGAAACTATCAATGTTCTTTTTTTTTTAAGATTTTATTTATTTTTGAGAGAGAGAGAACATGGGGCAGGGGTAGAGGGAGAGGGAGAAGCAGACTTCCTGCTGAGCAGGGAGCCCAATGTGGAGTTTGATCCTGGACTCCAGGATGATGACCTGAACCAAAGGCAGATGCTTAAACGACCGAGCCACCCAGGTGCCCTAAACCATTAATATTCTTAAAACACAAATTAAACATTTTTCTTAACAAGTGATGCAACCTGTTCATGTATAAAAATGTAGACTTGTCAACATTTAAAAATTATATATAATCATATTTGGTAAAGAGACTGTTTAGTATAATGTAGCCTGAATTATATACATTAAGTGTATCCAAACTGCTTTTGTTACTTAATATTGGAATTTTTGCATTAAAAAAAAAAAATCAACTAGTTGGGGCACCTGCATGGCTCAGCCGGTGGAACATGCTACTCTTTTTTTTTTTTTTAAAGATTTTATTTATTTATTTGACAGAGAGAGAGAGATCACAAGCAGGCAGAGTGGCAGGCAGAGAGAAGGGGGAAAGCAGGCTTCCCGCCGAGAGAGGGCCCGATGCGGGGCTCGATTCCAGGACCCTGAGACAATGACCCGAGCCAAACGCAGAGGCCCAACCCTCCGAGCCACCCAGGCGCCCCTTGGAACATGCAACTCTTGATCTTGGCATTGAGAGTTTGAGCCCCATGTGGGGTATAGAGATTACTTATTTTAAAAAAAATTATTTAAAAAATCAACTAGCTAATAGCTTTCAATATTTTATGAAGAAATTTTTCAGACAAGGAGTGCCTGGCTGGTTCAGTCAGAAGTGCAGTGACTCTTGACCTTGGGGTCATAAGTTTGAGCCCCACGTAGGGTGTAGAAATTACTTAATAAAACTTTAAAAGAAAAAAAAAAAGAAATTTCTCATACAGAAAAGTTGAAAAAATTTATTGAGTATCCATATACTCACCACATTTTATTATATGTATTTTATCACATAGCTATCAACCTTCTTTTTTAACCTTTTTTTTTTTTTTTTAAAGATTTTATTTATTCATTTGACAGGGAGAGAGATCACAAGCAGGCAGGGAGGCAGGCAGAGAGAGGGGAGGAAGCAGGCCCTCCGCGGAGCAGAGAGCCCGATGCGGGGCTCGCGGAGCAGAGAGCCCGATGCGGGGCTCGCGGAGCAGAGAGCCTGATGCGGGGCTCGATCCCAGGACTCTGGGATCATGACCTGAGCCGAAGGCAGAGGCTTTAACCCACTGAGCCACCCAGGCGCCCCTTAACCTGTCTTTTTTGATGCATTTCAGAGTGGCAGACATTAAGAGATCCTGGTGGCTCAATCAGTTAAGTAGCTCACCATTGATCTCAGCTAATGTTGATCTCAGGGTTGTGAGTTCAAGCCCCACATTGGGCTCCATGCTGGGTGTGGAACCTACTTAACCATTAAAACATAAACAACGGGCACCTGGGTGGCTCAGTCGTTTAAGCTTCTATCTTTGGCTCAGGTCATGATCTTGAGGTCCTGGGATCAAGCCGTGGGTAGGGAGCCTACTTAGGGCAGGTGTGCTTCTCCCTCTCCTCTTGCCCCTTTCCCATCCCATGCTCTCTTTCTCTCTAAAATAATAAAATCTAAAAAAAAAAAAAAAAAAAAAAAAAGTCACAGACATCAGTACACCTCCCCCAAAATACTCCAGTGTGCATATCATTATATCATATGAATATGTATACTTCATGTGGTATGCCTATTTCGGCATGCCTATCTTTAACTACAAAGAAACCTAAATATCTAAACTGTATCATTCCTTGAGTTCCAATATAAACATTGTTAAAAGATAAACTGAGGCATATTGAAAATTTTAAGTGTTTGAGCAAAAATCTATTTGAATTGGGCAGCATCCAATCCAGCAGATACAAAGGAACTCTGAGTTGCTAGACAAAATCAAAGACTTTTATAGCCAGAGGGGGGAGGGTACAAGGAAGTTATTCTAGGCAAGAAAAAAAAAAAAAAAAGGTTTGTTATTGAAAGGTTACTTTCTTTTAGGGGATGACAGTGGTCCTTCTGGCAGGTTACCTAAGTGCTGAAAACAGGCAATTCCACTTCTGGGAAAGCCAAACTCAGTTTGGTGATGCAGGGCTTAGCCCAGTGATTCCATATGGGTAGCGCCTGTTGTCTTCTTTATAATACCATACACCAGTGCAACCCATATCTCTATCCAGACAAAACTTTGCCCAGAAAATAACCATTGTTTTGATATTTTTTTCTATCTTGGATTAAATTTGCCTGTTCTAGGACTTTAATAAATGGAATTATAA